AACCCAGACGCCACACCACTCGTCGCCAACAAACCCCAACTCCGACAAAAACCCGCAACCGACGTGTTCTGACATCACCACAAAAAACATCAACCCTGACAACCCCTGTCACACCCACACCGACACCCAAACCTCCCACCCAAAGTCAACTCCACCACCACACGACCACACGGCCCCCCGACCCCGACACCCCAACCGACCACAACAAAATTCGGCCATCACAAACCACCAAACAGACCCAACCCCCACCTACCCCGCCAAACTCTGGCCATCCCACAAGACACAACCCTTGACCCACCACCCGACCACCACCACACCAACGCCCCACCCACCCACCACCCAACAACAAACACAACAATCAACCAAACACGCATCAGCCCCATCACCTCACAATCCAGAAATCATCTTCCCTCACGCTACACAATCACCAACAACATGCCCACCACCGCCTCCCACCTCCTCAACAAGGAAACCCATAACGCCATCATGGACCTCCTTACCAACCACCCCAACCCAGGCCCCCACCTAACCAACTACTGGACCCCCGGCACCCTCCTCCAAGCCGTCATCCACGACTCCGGAGTCACCCCGTTCCTAGCCCTCGGCAACAGCGAAAACGTCGTCCACGCCATCGCCATTCACCCTAACACCCCAGCCATCTACACTTTCTCCACCGACGCCCTTCACAAAAAGGACCACAAATCCCCCTCCACCACAGGCCTCGACCACGCCCTCAACCAAAACCCCGTCCCCTACCTCAAACCCCACAGCAACGCCATCGCCAAACAACTCCCCCTCCTTTCCCAAATCGCGCCCACCCTCCTCCCCTTCTACGTCAGAGACGACACTCCAACGCACCCCATCACCCTCCGCTCCCAACTCATCACCCAGGAAAAGATCACCCGAAACTCCCCCACGGCCAAGTGGCTCCTGGCAGCCAGCACCAAACAACCCAACAATCCCGCGCGAAGCATCTTCCACCTCGCCCCCACCAACCCCAGCCTCCCTTTTTCCGCCCAACTCTCTTCACAGATCATCGCCGACCTCGAAGACATTTGGCCAACCCAAGCACAGGCTCTCCTCACACTCCTATCATTTGGCCAACCCAAGCACAGGATCTCCTTACACTCCTAACGGACGCCAATGTCCTCCACGCCANATATGTAGTAAATTGTTGTTGCTACTACTAGTAGCAGTTGAAGCCCTCATGAGAACTTTTATTCTAAATTTAGAAATTACTAGAGATGAGTTAAGGATTGCCCTCCTCTCCTATCTATTAGCTACTAGTACTACTAGTAGTAGTGGTAGTAGTCGTATATTTGGTCGTTTTGCTTGAGGAGTATGTCAAAATTGCTACTACAAGCATTTGGTGCTAGTCTATCAAAGATAGAAAATAGACTAAGGGCTTCAAATGTCCTAGCTAGTAGTAGGCAGCAGTGGTGGGACTAATTTTTCTGCACCATTCCACAGAGCCACTTTTTGGAAATGCTTTATACTACTAGTAGTAGTTCACAAATGATGWCTTAATGAGCCTTCTTGTGACCATAGCGTTGTTTTGAGACATATTAGTAGTACCTATAATGTGGTTATTTGTTCAACATGTCCAAAAAATAGCTTTGTAGTAGAAGGTAGCATACTTTGTTGTACAATGATAAGTTCTTACTAGTAACTAGAAGACCTTTTGACTTGAAGCTATCAAAAACAACTTTACATCAGCAAGCTGCCTTATCGTATATTACCATAACTAGTGTTAGTACTATATTCAGTTGCAATTAAATACATACTGTTAATTAGAAGTGGTGCTAATTTCATGCAGTAGAGATGAAGAATTTTATTATAGTAGTACAAGAAGGAGTGAAAACCCACACCAGCATCACATTCTTCTTGCCACTTCTTCTTCCTCCATCATTGTTCTTGTTGTTGATCTTGGCAATCCTATTGCACCCAACAACAATAAAAGGGACACCTTTGGCTATGGCTATGATGGACATGATGCACTGACTGAGACTGACAAAGCTGCTAGTATAGTARATGCCTTGTTGGACAAGTTTGAGTCCTACAAGAAATACAACCAGTTCCTCTCAAGTTGGGGACCACCAGCAATGCTCACACCACTGGCCTCCTCCACATTACTAGCATTTCAATCGCTTTTAACCTTGCTTCCATCAGGCCCCCTGCTGGCARATGCAACTACTACTACTACRATGCCAATGTGAAGTCATCATCATGATTGGTCATTTCAAAATTAAACTGATTATTTTTAGARGATGACAGAGAGTCTCATTCTCAAGACATGATACTCACCAGTCACAAGCCATACAACCATCAAAACAGAAGTGGGAGAAAACCAAGACTACTAGTAGTCAAAATACATGTTAGTATGATTGCATAATGTTAATGTCAACAACAGGAAAAYTAACTTTAAAATATGTAATATATTTTACTAGTACTAGTAGTATCACCAGGGGCAACTGGAAAGCCAAAAGTATCACTTCTTCTTGCTGGAAGAATATGGTTGCTGTGAGCGACAGTACTCCTCCTGCTGGAGGAGCATGACTGGTACTAGTGTGGTACTCACAGATGTACTACTACTATTGTATGCTGGAATTCTTATTGAAACAAGTGTTGTTGTCTCTTTTTGAATATGTACTATCAAAGACCAGCATATTTTGAGTAATGCTCTCATGTGACTCCTTTTTACAATTTGTAACTGAGCAATCAGGTTGATATTGATACTAGTGAAAATGGCAGTAGCATCTTAAATGCTCCTGTACATTTTTTATGAACTCTGTATAGTAGTATCATGACAAAGAAGTGTAAGTGGCATTGGATGGGAAAGCTTCAAGATCAGGGGGGAAAGAGGAGTGGCTTAAGTTGGAAAAGTTTCTGACCRAGAGAAAAATTGTCTGACTCTTTTTCTTGTTAATCATGCTTAGCTTCAGGCGCCTGTTTATGGGAAATAGCAGTGTGAAAATRGATATCTTTATTGCTTTGCTCCAACATGACACAACAAGAAGATTTCAATCAAGCAAGGAGGCTGGTGCTCCTAGTGCCAGGCAAGTYGACTGTGATGAGATCAGTGGACAATATGGATACTGCCTTCCTGGTGGGACAAACACAGACAGCATAAGTCATTAAATTGATACTTCCATTGTTTGAGAACTGTATCCTCATTAGTGTGGAGCAGGATGTCATTCCAAACCTTTGKGACAAGGACATCCCTATCAAGGCAGCAGATAGCAATACTGAGAGACTTGCTGCAAGAAGCAAAAACCTTGAGGGCATTRCTTGCCYACTTCATGATACTAGAATTATGACCACTGACAAGGATATAATGGTAAATATCACAGCATCAATGATCCTTGTATGTTTCTCAGCATCATTCTTTCCTCTTCATTGTTATACAGAGACAAAACTAGTATGATGACAAACCAAAGAAGTGGAAAATTGAAGAACTGTCATTAAAAACTGCTGAAAAATTCTTCAGGATTGATAGCACTTTCAATGCAGCAAGGCCAAAAGATGCTCCTAGTAGTAGTAGTAGTAGTAGTAGTAGTAGTAGTAGTAAGGTTGCTTTGCTAGTAGTAAGAGTTAAGGTCACATCAAATTGTTGCTAACTACAACCTTATGGTACAGAGATAAACCTGAGGAAGCAAACGGTCAATTGTCAGAAATCACAATGAATTGTAGTAGTACTAGTAGTATTAGTAGGAGTAAGAGTACTAATACTACTAGAACAAGTTACATAATTGAAAAAATCTTAATGTTACATTTAACTTTGTGAACTAGAAGAGGCACTATAATGGCCAGAGCCATTCTGGCACCCAAGGGGGAAGAAGAATGTGATCAGTTGCTCCAACGGGCAGCACTTCACCCCTCTGAGGAGTCTTTCTGAAAGARCAACCAAGTGAACCTCAGCACCTATTACTGGGTTGTTACCATCTAAATCATAGGATAAATGCTCATTAGAACAAGTTGCATAATAATTTGAGATGTGGGAACCAACTGTTCTCAAACTAGGAATGAAGAAACTATTCTCAGACCATCACTACTAATGAAGAAAGTGTTACTCCTCCTACTACTTTGTTACTAGAATAACTCYAGGCAGAATTTGTTGACAACATGATGGATGTGATATATGATCCAGATCAGATTCAGTATAGTATAGATAGATACAGGGAACTTCAAATTGTTGACACTTCAGTTACCACAGCCAGTGGTTCTCATAAGTGCTGTGGGAGAACACTAGTACTCCTGAACCAAGAATGACCTAAAGAAATACCAATTAATATTAGTAGTAGTAGTACTAATGGTACTACTACTTCTTCTAGTAAGACAAGAACTGTTCACAAACTACAGGGTACATCTTTGAAAATGCCTTGATTTCAACCTTGTCTTACACCACAAGAACAAGAAGCAATCATTGGATTTATGTTGTTGTGCTTTTTTAGTAAAGAGTTACTAGTAATACTAGTAGTAGTACTAGTAGTACTAGTAGTATTACTAGAACTTCCAGTGCTGGTGGTCTGTTTGTGACAACAAGAACAGCCCCTGCTGTCTTCACCAAAACAAAACATCATCACTGCTGCCAACAGCAACAACAAGACGAAGAAGGAACAAGAAGAACATTCAACATCATGGACAACAGATCAATGGATTCAATTCCTATTTTCGAAACAACAACAACAAACAGCCACGGCACCCCCGCCAGTCTTTTTCTTAATTCACTTCTAGCTAAATTCTTTTTAATTTTTCCAGCAGTGTGATGCACTCACTTAGCTTTTGCAATGTAGTAAGTGCCTGCGTTAGCCAACCAATCATGGMGGCACCCAATCCTGAGTGGCAATATGCGAAGTAGATGGAGAGGACAGGGAAAATATTTTTTATGTCTCCCCCACCAGTTGTCGGTTCTCACCCCATATTTAAGCCATTCCGCGAATTAGAAACAGGAMATGAGAAGATACAAAACGAATTTTGTACCGTGCGGGTAGTTTTTCTACGGTAGGGTATTGGTGCCAGTCGTGAGAATAGTTGACAGGTCAATCACAAAAAATTCTCGAGAATTCTTTCTTTCGAGATACTACAGAAATGCACAGCATCACCACTTTCTACTCCTACGAAAGGCAYMTTCCTTCTCGATAACATTGATATCATCAACGCCGCCCGCTGACGACTTCCGCGGCCGAATCAATCACAGAACCACTACCTGTGACAGCAGAAACAAGGAGGTGGAGAAAAATACCATCATTTCTATGGAACAAGAAAAACGGTCAGCAGCCAGCGCCTTCATCATTGACATTTGCCCTGCCGTCTTCAATTCCCTGCTCGACGAAGTCACAAAACGCGGCGGAGCAAAMGAGAACCAGCACGCACCTACGAGATAATAGAGTACCCACCATCCGTTCTCCTCAGTATGATTATTTCCAAAACTAGGTCTCGTTCCATAGGAGGTTGTTTTGCTCGCATTACCTGCGGCAAGACTGCGCACAGCAATATCCAACGGGATTTTGCTTTGTCCTCGACCACTGCAGTACTATCTGCATCCTCTCTTCTTTCCATGCCTATCAATGTTAATMAATCGAGTGGGCATTATCGTCTTCCGTTCTATTCATCTTCGTTGTTGTCACGATATATGCAAAAACGTTTTCGCTCGGCTCTGCCAGCAGAAGGCTACGACGACGAAGAAGACGAGAACAGTGGATCGAACACTTCTACTTCGGCCTCTAGTGCTACCGACATCAACACTGCGCCTACACCTTTTCTGTTGGCTGATATCGGAGAGGGCATTGCCGAGGTGGAACTCCTTCGATGGTTTGTGACTGAGGGACAAATGATAGGTGAATTTGATCCRGTCTGCGAGGTACAATCCGACAAAGCAACAGTAGAAATCACGAGTCGCTTCGAAGGSAAGGTGCACAAGCTTGCTTATCAGTCTCCGGGGAGCATGATTCGGGTGGGCGAACCAATCCTGTGGATCCGGGAGCGAAGCGGAAGCAATGAACACCCTCAGCAGCAACACAAAGACGGCCATAAACCTATGGATGACATGTCAGCCGCGCCGAATTCTATGTACCCACCACTGAATTCTGCAACAGGATTGTCTTCGATGCGAGATCCAACCGATGCTTCGTTGATGATGTCGGTGAAACAACAGCATAGTAAAAGGCATGAAGCTATCCCTGGATATCAGGAGCAAGTCGCGGGAGTGACTTTTTCTTCTAATCTAACATCGAAAAAGGTTTTGACATCCCCGGCCGTACGAAAGCTAGCTAGAGATAATGCATTGGATTTAAGCACCGTAATGGGCACGGGTCCCTCGGAACGAATTACCAAGGGTGATATTCTAGCCGYTTTGAAAGAATCATCGCCATCGACTACATCCACAAAGCCAGCTGCCTCTCCTGCTAGTACCACTCCCCCTGCCATTGGAACCTGCACGGAATTCGATGTTCCGCTTTGTAACGACATAACCGTACCTTTAAGGGGTTACAACCGGATCATGTCAGAAACCATGACAGCGAGTCTAAAGATTCCTCACATGGTGTATTCCGACGAAATCAATCTCAATAGATTCGCGCAATACAAGAGAGAGCAACATCATGCGGCCGAGAAGAAACTCATATTCTTGCCCCTAGCAATAAAGGCGGCCAGCAAGGCTCTGGAGAAATATCCATGGCTCAACGCAAGTTTCGACGRGGAAAAACAAGAAGCAACACTATGGAAAGACCACAATATTGGGATTGCTATGGATACWTCCCGGGGTTTGATCGTCCCCGTCCTGAAAAACTGCCAGGACAAGACCTTGCCAGAAATAGCCGAAGAGCTAAAGCGCCTCAAGGATTTAGCTACCTGCCAAGAGGGGGGGGGACTCCCGGCAACCGATCTCCAGGGAGCAACCTTTACCCTTAGCAACGTTGGTGCGATTGGAGGAGGCGGAACCTACATGTCACCGATCATWACTCCCCCCCAGGTGGCCATTGGGGCCCTGGGTCAAATCCGGCGGCTCCCCCGGTTCGCATCTGCTCCCTGTCACGACCAAGATCCAACCGCGAGCCAGCGCGTGGAGGAGGCCCACATTTGTACCGTCTCGTGGGCCGCAGACCATCGTATCGTCGATGGCGCCACCGTGGCCCGTTTTCACAAATCGTGGAAGGAGTACATGGAAGATCCCATCAAGATGCTGCTRGAGCTTCGGTAARATAGAATACAAAAAGGCTGACTATACAAGCAATCGGCCGATTGAGAGGTGTATGCATTCYTCAGTTGAAAGCGATGTATGCCTCACACAAGATGAAATCAGCGTGGGAACACCGCATAGTGGTCGGAAAAAGAGATACACATCTAGATAACTCTATATCTTTTGTTTATAACCTTGAAGAATACGAAACYGACCTTTCAGAATGCAATAAAAAAGTTTGACAACTGTTCATCTRTTGAGAACGTGTGGATACTGCCTTCATAGAAAAGGTTGAGTTGTTGTTTTGCGCATCGTGACCGTACCTTCGTACCCCGCTAGTAGGTTGAAGCTAGRTGACTAATTGTCCTCTATTTTTCTTCCGTTTCCCCTGTCTCGGAACGAGKCCATTTTCCTCCATCCCTCTCCGTAATCGTGCGGCTTTCTTTCGTTGCTGATGCATATCTTTCTCGGCTTGAGATTTCGGATAGGACGCTGKGCAGTCCTCTCTTTTTGTGGAATACACCGCAAGGGTGCCCTCGCCGAGGCTCGGATCCAGAATGTACTCGCCATCGGATTCCCGTCGGACCAAACGCCGGCAGGGATCTTCTTTGTAGGTCTGAAGYACCGCTCGAAAGCTCTCGGGATTGGCAATGACAACATCTGGTCGGTTGGGATCWAGGCCCACGGGCAAAAAATAATTCTCGAGCCAAACGGACATGTTGTAGGAATGCGCCATCATTTTGGACCGGAACTCGTCGAGGTAATCGACACACAGGGTTTTGTTGTGGCCTTGTCCGTGGGCGGCATGGTAGTGCGCATTGGGGATGTAGCTGAGTCCCAAAAACTGGGCGAGCTCGTCCCAGTACGAGCCATCCTTCATCTGGGTCTGGTCGTACACAAAAACAGGATTTCGGAGCTTCCCGTTGAACAGGTTCTCCCCACCATCGGGGTCCCCCGGTGCCAGTAGGTCCCGTTCTTCCTTGGTAGAGAGGGGCGTTTTTCCGACTCGGGCCAGGGGAAGATGCAGACGGGATCGATGGAAACAAACGGGGATCCCGCAACGGCACTCGCCGATGCATAGTTCGGGTGGTATTTGTTTGCCATCCTTGTCGATGGCGGTGCTTACGGGCGACTTGGGGATGCCGGTGAAGGGATCGATGTTGCTGTAGTGCGGGCAGAGCTTCATTCGCGTGTAGAGATCTCCGACGTTGCCCATGTTGAAGAAACTGGTGAACCACAGAACCGGATGGCGGATCCCGATGATCAGTTTTGTTCTCGGATAGGCGTACCCGTATCCCAGAAGGAGTAAGGGATCGGAAAGGTACCGTGGGCACTTGGCCCCCCTCATTTGTAGGTTTCGATCGGGAATGTATTTATCGGGAAGGTCCTGAATCTCGGGGAATTTATCCAGCCACYTTTTGTATACGAATCTCARTACCCCGTCCATAGTAGCGACGCAAAAATCCTTTACTTTCATGGGCGCGACGTTGGCCAGATTGGCGACCAGGGTGGTTGTTCCGGTCTTGGGATGGCCAGCAATCATAAAATCGAGCCAGGGCCCTTCCTTGTCCTCCTGGTATTTGGTGAAACCCGTTGTTTCGTTGTAGTAAAAACGTTCCGGATCCGTGGCGGCCTTTTCTATCCTTTTCTTTCGTGCATTGASTTCCCTTTTGGTATTGTAAACATTGTGGWACAGGTCGACGCGGTTCCGTATCCATTCGATCTCCTTCGGAGGCAAAACAAGCCGAATTTTCTCTGYGGTCTCGTTTTTGTTTTCTTTCACTGCAGGGTTCGCTTCTCCTATCGCATCGATGGTTGTCGTCTTTTCTGCTGTTTCTTTGTCCTTTTYATTGGCGGCTGGACCGAMATCTGCAGACAAACGATCATGCTTCTYTTTCATGACGCTRGACGATCCCGCCTGCTTKTCCACCRWGAAATKTTGTTTCGCCAAAGCTATGGACAGCATGGATGGCTGCCGTTCGGCAGCACCGCCATGCGWATGTTTCTCAAACGTGCTTATCGTCATGATATTGAAAATCACGGCGACCGCGATAAACGCTGCTCCAGACAGCAAGAAGAGCTTGGAATGTTTCTTCATGGTACTCGTATTCGATTCGATTCGATGCGCTAAAATTTGGTGTGCTCTCAAAGTGCCATGAATGGAACGCCTGCAACGTAGAATCAAGTGATCAGAACCAATCCGTCATAATGGAGCAATGCTTTATCCATCAAAGCCANCTCTCAAAGTGCCATGAATGGAACGCCTGCAACGTAGAATCAAGTGATCAGAACCAATCCGTCATAATGGAGCAATGCTTTATCCATCAAAGCCAAAACAATGAAGATGGTGGCAAACTGTTATGCTACTTCTCGTACCTCCTACGGTACCGTACAATCACCTCTTCATGACTGGGACTAACCATGGAGGATAAGTTCGTATCGTACGGCACTACAGTTCTAGCGTACCGTATGTACCTGGTACCAGGGGCCATAAATTTATGACCCTACGGTACAAGTACCTGGTACTGGTACTGTCTACAGTACGTACGATACTTTGTACTGTTCTTGAATCGAGAAATAATCATCATCTAACRTCATTTAGTACGGTACCAACATACGGCTCGTAGTGCATGCTCTGGATAGTGAACAGTGAACAGTGATCCCGAATTACACCCGTGCCTCGACCGTGCCTTTTTGAAGACCTAGCCAACTACATACACGTGCTATTGGCTTTCGTACAATTTGTACTGCAAAGGAACAGAAAAAATTCTTCAGAAAACTTCGCGGACCTTGATTTGAGTGCCAGCGTGGCTCGCACAATACAATTACGAGTACTTCTTGTACTCTTACGAGTAAAGTACCCTACTTCTCGTTTTGGCCCCGTGCGAATTTCAAATTCTTTGTTGCATCGAAGTCCGGCACCGTACGGTACACTAGGAACAAAGAACGCATCTGTCGGTCGGAGAAATTCGTCTATTGAGAGACGACACAGAACGAAGAGACAATCCCACTCAAAAAGAGAGACATCACGAAAGAATGAAATCGGACGAGAGCCGAGGCCAAAGGCAAAAGAAGCCGCCGCAACTCCCGTTGCTCGGGATTTCCCTCTCSTTGTTGATGCTTTCGTGTGCAGCATCGGATCGGTKTTTCGCCTTTGGRTGGACGAYYAACAACRAACGCGCCAGCAAAGRCATCTCGTGGCGGTCAAAAGAGAGGCACCAAGCAACGCCGTTTCCTCCGTCGCGCTCCCGGACTCTTGCGATACAAGCGAAAAAAGAAAAACCGTACTATGCCGACGACGCCGAAGACGAAGAAGACAACAATGCCCCGTTGGTCGCCGGTGGAGCCGCGGTGACCCTGACGGCCGCCAGAACCGCCACTACCGCAGCCGTAGGCGGTGCCGCGCTGTCTTCGACCACAACTACGGCTACGGTAGCGGGAACGACCACTGCTGCCACCACGGCAGCTACTACCGCTGCCACCACGGCAGCTACCACGGCAACTTCGACCGCAACTTCTGTGGTGGCCGGAACCGCGGCTCGGACCGCCACTACCGCCGCCGTGGCCGGAAATGTGGCGAGGACGGCGACGACAACCGCCGCGACCGTGGGAACCATAGGAGCAACGGCCTCTTCTACCACCGGGGCCTCGACAGCGACCTCGGTGGTGGCCGGAACCGCGGCACGGACCGCCACTACGGCGGCCGTGGCAGGGAATGCCGCAAGGACGGCAACCACCACGGCCGCAACGGTGGGAACCCTAGGAGCRGCGGCGTCTTCCACGGGCGGGGGTTCAGCGGCAACCTCTGCGGTAGCTAGTACCGCGGCTAGGACCGCTACTACCGCCGCCGTGGCMGGGAATGCCGCAAGGACCGCGGGCACTACGGCCGCAACGGTGGGAACCATCGGAGCGGCGGCCTCCACCGCCGGAACCGCGGCCCCYGCGACCACCGCAACCACGGCCGCGGCYKCCGCTGCCGGCAATGCAGCGGCCGCGCGCACSACGGCCGCGGGAGGTGCAGCGATCGCCGGAAAGGTCGGGACGAGCATCGCGGCCCGATCGGCCGCAACCGGATCTGCCGCGACCGCCGCCACGGTTTCGGCCGGCCGCCTGGCGGCCGGATCCGCGGTGGTGGCCACCGGTTCCGCGGTTGCGGGGGACTCTTTGCTCGGTGGCACCGGTGCCGCCGCGGGGGTGGACGCCCTGGCATCGGCATCGGCGGCGGTTGCTGGTTCCTCCGCGGATGCCCTGGCGGGKGCCGCTTCTGCTGCCGCGGGGGGTTCCGCAGCGGAGATCGCCGGGGCCTCTTCTGCCGCCGCGGATGCCCTGGTTTCTTCCGTGGGCGGTGCCGCCTCGGAGCTTGCCGGTGCGGCCGCGGACGCCCTTGTCTCGGCGGGCGACGCCCTGGCATCGTCGTCGTCGGCTGCCCTCGGAGAAGCGACCGATGCCCTGTTGACGGGCACCGGAGAGATGCTGGCCTCGGCCGGGGATGCGGTAGCCACCGCCGCGGTAGGAGTGGCTACCGATGCGGCGGTCAACGGATTGGTGGGATTCGGGGTCTGGACGGCGGTCAAAAACTGGCTGCTTTCGGGTGGGGTGGCGGTGGTCGCCGTGGAGGTTTTCTTTGCGGTTGCCACCATCGTTGTGACAGCTAGGGCCGCCAGAACGAATTCCGAGGTCGAGGAGGAGAAKGATTCGGGTGGTTGGTTCGACTTTCTCGGTAGCAAGAACGATGCCGAAGACCTAGCTACCAGCAATGCAGTCGACTCGGTTCGGCTTTTMGCAACRGAAGAGGGAATCCAGGAGCCAAATACCAGYGATGTCCTGCAATCTGTACAACTGGAAACAACAGAAGAGGGAGTCGGGGAGCCAAATACCAGTGATGTGCTGGAATCTGTACAGCTGGAAACAACACAAGAGATCGAGGCGTCGAATTCCATGGACATGGTGGTAGACTCGGGGCGGCTCGAAACAATCAAGGATACTTTGGACTCGATACAGTYAGAGGCCACCGATTTTGTGCCACCCGAAATAATGGAAAACATCGACCGGTTTGACATCGAAGTCGATGAGTCAATCAGCATCGATGGATTTGGTTCGGTTTCGATCGAAGCGATTGACAATGCAAGCGACACGAAGGGTCCCGAACAATACGGCGTCTCCGATACAGATCCACTTTATGCCTTGAAATTTCCAGAGGCAGAAACGCCAACAGACAGTACTTTGGATCCGTTACAGCGCGAAACAATGCAAAGCAGCAGCAACGGGTACGAAACCAACGAAGAAACTTCTGATTACGCTGTCAACTTTCCGGATCAAAATAATTTGACTAGTAGTGGCATCGAGACTTTGTATTCGATGCCGTCCGAAGCAGCGGCTACAGAATTTACGGCCGAACAAGACAGCTCGGCGAGGAGTGATGCTATCGGCGAGAAACGCGACAACTACAGTTTAGGTCTGCAAAATTACGATGATAGCAGCGACCAACACGACGAAAATAACCGAGATCGGTGACTACAGCGATATTAACATGAATCAAAGCTCGACACAGTGCATGCAGTAAGGCACAGCAAACCCATGACGGATAAATTCACAAGGTGGCAGGTTTGGAGAAACAGGTAGATTGTTCAGCATGAACCGACAAAATGGGGAAAAGATTTCTGCTCAAATTGGAAAGCTTGAGAATCTGTCGAGAAAGCTGGTCACGGATCCATTGGGAATCGAGTCTTTTTYACAACAAAGATGACTTCATTGTAGAACGTTACAAATACAACTGCTGTTTTTCGAAGCTTTGATTGCGATGGCCAAGTCACGATAGGTGKCAATGGAGAACATGATAACTTGAACTCTTATAAAGTATTAAATACAAATAGTAACGATGATTGTTTCGGATGCAAAACTTGCACCAAACAACTGRTAGTCCTCTGTCGGTATCGAATCCCCTTCTAGAGGACAGAGGCTCCGCATTGTTTTCATTTGTATTTTAGCGGTAATCAGAACACATCCTTAGTAGGGCGTGTGAAGCAACCTCTTTCCCTCAACAATCCTCGACACTACCTGCCTGGCCAATGGATGGTGAATGCCTACAGAGGGAGTATCGTCGTACAGGACCAAAATGTCCGCCCAAATCTGAATTGCCTTGATGTAATCCCCCCGTGCCTCGAAAATGGAAGCAATCTTCGTTTGAATGCGTGCCTGGACTTGACTGTCTGGATCATGGAGGAAATTCAGGTCGGCATATTCTTCCAGGGCTTGATCAAAGTTTCCCGACTCACAYAAAACATCCGCCTCGATYTCGTGATAAATATTGCTCTTGAGTTGTGCCAGATACTTTCGGATTTCGTGAGATCGGTAACCCATTGTCAACAGGGCTGCTCGGATCATGTATGTCGCAGCCTTGGTCAAATCGTGAGCGACCCCTAAACCAAGAGCGGCAACCTGAATGGCTCGTCGAAACTCCATCAGCGCATCAACGTGGTCTTCTTGCGACATCCGGACCATTCCCAGAGCGTAGTAGAGTTGAGCAGTTGATTCCGTGGGGCTTGGGCTCAGGGTATTGACACGGAACATATTTCCGTTAGGGGGTGGATCCATCGCATCTTCTCGTTCCTTTGCAAGTGCTTTTCCGTCGGTAGGGTCGGCGTTCGCATAGTTTTGCACTATTTCGTCAATCTCCTTTTCGCGACTCACTTGTTTGCTAACTTGGTTTTCGTCGCCCTCTTCTTTGTATTGTTTCAGATATCGCACGTTGACCAAAGTTTGATGATTTTGTTGGGCTTCTCGAATGATGAGCGAACGCTCTAGTTCCCAGCCAGCTCCTTCGTAATCATCTTGTCTCCATTTTTGACAGCCGTTGCGGAATCTTTCGTTCGCAGTTTTGCTCAAGTTTTCTTGTTCGTAGTCTCCTAGCAGTTTCAATGCTACCGATTTTCCTTGAGTCTTCCATATGTGGCAGAACAAGTTTTCCGCGAGCAGATCCCGATGCTCAGTAGGRATTTTGGTGACTACTGCCTCTTCCCAGTATTCTTCTGGAACGTTTGTATCATCTAATCCGGTTAATAGGTCGCCATCCTCCACTTTCTTTTTAGAAACTTTCATTGAACGAATCTTCGTCTTCTTTCCCTTCTTTTTCTTCCCCGAGTCTTTCGCGACCTCGCCGTCGTTGGTTAGTGTAGCAGTGCTAGCAGTGTGCTCTCCATCTGACTTCTTCTCGCATTTTAATCGTTGTATTAAACCCATCGTGGTGTAGGAATTAGGTTTGATTAATTTTTATTCATCACCTCAAAATAATGTTGTACGAAAAAAAAAAGGTACGGTAGGAATATGTTTCTGCGACTTTTTTCCCGACTTTTTCGCGATAGCAGTAACGTGAGACGACTATTTCACAGAAATCCGTTTCTATTGCAACGAATGAGATTCGAATGGGATGAAGTTCCAAAAATGTCAATAGCGATCTACAACGGTTAAAAGACGTTAACATGTTACTCTAATTTAATACGCATCTATCGGGGATCCACTTCATACGTACCGTTGTACGTGGTCATAATATGCTCAGATACCAAAAACAAAAAACTAGCGAGCTGGCAGTTAGGTTGTTGAGTTTATAGTACTCGAAGCAGGACAGATTTCGCCAAAAAATCGGTAAAATACTATCGAACTTTAAGCAGCAATCTGTTTATTCGTTACACAYCATTTAACCGTATTCTTTGTTCTTCTTCATTTTGTATATAGGCTATTTTGATTCGAAGACATGGGTCATTGACGGCTTATTATTTATCATTATTTTAGAATTGGGCAAGGTTGAAGCGGTCTATTCATGAAGAAGAACAATAGTCTCCCACGGACTAGACACTGCAATACAAACTGACAAAGCTTGTGATTTTAAAAAAAAATTCTTACACAGCGTCCTTCTGTGCTGTATTTCACCAGTACAGTAACGTAGAGTACGAGTACGTACTAATGATGACTACTGTAGGTTTCAAATTTGTTTCTTATTCGGCGATCACGTTATTCTATTGATTTAGCAGATACATTACTTCGTAGTACCGTTACAGTTTAACCGTAGCATACGTACGGTACAAATACAATTTGTTGTGCTGCTCGAGTACGAAACTCTACTGCTACAAGTACTTGTACTCTTATGCTTATGATGTACTGTACGAAGTAGGGTAAAAGTATACCGTACTAAATGTATTACAGCAGGGGTCATAATACGATGTAGTGTGCGTACTTACTTGTACGTTGAATCGTAAGGTGCGTATAACGCTCGTACCTACTGGCACTTTGCATCAATAGTTCAAAGTTAGGCAAATGTCAAATGTAGTATCTTTCATATCTACAATGAGTACGTACTCGTATGTAGTCAGGAAGTATTATTTTTCTTTTTTCGCTGCCGTCCCGAATTGCTGCACTCGTGAATGCTTCTCCCCTGCCGCGCGCAGGGTCCCTCAGCGCAGAATGCATGCCATGCATGTTCGGCGCGTTGACACGGCGTGTCAAGGCAACTTGACACTAAATTAGGCCACGTACCGGCGAGACGGCGCGAAGAAGTGTCACAGTCGGTTCTATTTGGTCGAAGCAAACCCTCGAAGTTGGGACTGAACTGAGTTTGATGGCCAGGTCGAAGTTGAAAGATCGGGAGAGAGACACACTTTGACCACACGCAGTGCTGTACCGTACAGCAGCACTGTTAGTTTTCGTCTCAACTTTACTCGAGTTTTCTGTGGTACTACTTTTTGTTTCGTTGTTGCACTGTATTTTCTATTTGAATCTCGCGATCTTCGTACTTCCACTTGAAACTAATCGTCATCGGACTTCCGATGCAACACTATTCCACACTTTTTCGATGTACTCTCCTACATTGGTTCCTTGCAACAACATAGACAAAAGAGACAGCAAGTCGGCTACTGCAACGCAGTCAACACCTCCGCAGTTGTTACATTCGTCGCCACCGCTGCTGCCGTCGTCCAATTCCCCATCGCTGCATCCATCGAATCCRCCATCGCCGCTTGGGTCGTCCGATTCCACCCTTGTTGTAGCTCTTTGCCCGAAAGACGCCGACGAAACCATCACGACCATAATGCCACCGTTGGTGACATGGACGGTGAAATCCCTGGGCCACTCACGATTGCGACTGTCGCGGCTTGAGCGGTCCCGCGAAGAAATTGAGTCCCTATCGATCCCCACCAAGCGTTTGCCGTTGGAGGAGAAGGAACAGCACACGGTGCCGTCTTCGAACTTGCATTCTTCGTGCGCAAAAACGCGCGCAGTTGCAACCAATCACGATTCCCAAAAGAGGCGAAAAGAGAGCGATGACGAAACCTCCATTCCAGTACAACCAGTCTTATTGCGTGATGACACATCACCCAGACGCAATTCCGAGACAGAACAAAGTGAAATGRTTCCAACTTATTCTTCTTCTCATGTTCGCASCGGTTTGAACAGCAGAATGACACCACAAATCGTGAACGGCAGTTCGGATGGTGATCAGCCCAGTCGACATCCACCAATGAAAAACGCGAATTCAGGTATGCTGACAAAAAGTGCTTCAAAAAGTAATTCATTCATTCGTATTTCCCCGTCGCCCCAAACTCAAACAAATAATGCTGAAGCAGCATCACTAAGTACTAAAAAGACCTCGACAGAGCCAGTTAAAAAACACATCACACAGAACAACACAGCAGGAAAACGAAACATATTGTGCTCTTCCACAACAGGGAACAACAAAGAAGATACCAATTTGTCATCGGTGGTTGTCCTTCGAGATTTCATTGGCGGCAATGTTATCGCCAACTCGTCTACGACTGAATCAGCACTAGTACCCCCCACCTTGACACCATCGTCGTCCTCATCATCAGTAGAAACAAAAACCGAAAACGAAACCCGCCTGGCTTTGAAAAAGGACGGTCCTCCTGCTAGCAAAACTATGGAGGCTGTGGACAAGCAGGGCAAACGTCCCTTGCCATCCATCCGACAACAACAGCTACCACTGCAACAGGAATCTGCTCCATCCAAATCACTAAACAACAACACCGACATTTCTCCCTCACCAACTCAGRAGAACAGTATAGTGTCGTCTCTGMCAAGCGAAAAGGGACCTCATCTGAAACTTCARAGTGACAACCAAAGTCTGTCTAGCACAATAAAAGACGCAATCGTAGTCCACCCGACACCGCCTGTGACAMAGGCGCAAAAAGTAGAAACCATTCGACCTCTTAAACCAGAGGTGTCAGCCACGAAACAAGCGTCATCTGGTGAATTACCATCAGCATTGCCCTCGAAGCTAGAATCAAAACCAGTGTCTTCGTCTACCAAGAAAGAAGCGATAGGCCCCTCTGACAAACAATCAATACCAAGCAGACTCATACCTCTAGCCGGTAAACCATCTCCTACCATGTGCCCCGCTCTTCCCGCAAAATCAATTCACTCGGTGGGCGCCAACAAGGCGGACAGGAGTTCCATGTCTTCGCCAAGCAGCGTTGCACCCCAACCCACAACGAGCAACAACTTTCAATCCAAGAAAAACCTCAAGACCGGCCACCCTTCGACTCCCGGCAGCAAGAAGAGAAAGCGCAGTGGATCCGACAGCACCGCCTCGACTTCCTCGAAGCCAAAGGGCCAATCCTCCGGCCGGTGGACCGCAGACGAGCACCAGGCCTTTCTCGAGGGGCTTGCGGAGTGCGGCAGGGAATGGAAGAAGGTCGCGCAGCGGATCCCCACCCGAAGCTCGGCCCAGATCCGATCGCACGCGCAGAAGTACTTTGCCAAGCTCCAAAGGGACCAGGAAACCTCGGCGGCCACAACGGCGGTCAACGCCGTGTCTGGCTCTCTAATCCAGGGGGACCTGGCGGCAGCGGCCGCCAATTGTGCCAGCACCACATCGTTTCTGATGACGGGGGTTCCGCTTGCKTCKGGCGGGAGCCTCGTTGTTGTGGGAGAAGGGGGGCGCCTCTCGGGGACCATTGTCACCGGTCCGGCGGCCCTGCCCCCGTCGGTACAGCGTAACGTTGAGCGGATCGTTGCCAATCCCCGAGCGGCGCAGCGTGAGGTAGAGGACACCATGGAGGCGCTCCGCAGGCGCTACCGTCAGCTGCAGCAGCGGTTGGAGGAGCGGCGGAAGCAGCGGGACGAAAAGCGAAAACGCCGGCAGCAACAACAATCCACACAGCAGCAGCCGTCCGTTCTATCGTCGAATGCGACCGAATCCACCGATGATTCGAGCAGCACCATTGCTTCCTCGCACCAGTTACCGCAAGCCCGACAAACGACAACGACACCATCCGAGCAACAAAGCCGTTCCCCGAAACAACCCTGCAATCCCTGTCGAAAGCGTGCATTGAACCTTCCTATGAATCGCAACCAACCGAACAGCAAACGTAGCAACGGTCGATCGTCGTCTCCCCCTACGGGCGACGAAAATTCCTCCGTATCGTCCAACGTCTCCTCGATCGCCGCAAGCCGGACGGACCTGGGGAACGAGGAGATTGTCGCCCTCGAGGTATTGGGTGAGGCTCTCCCCAGGGGGGATTCCGTCAACGATCTCCAAGTACTGGACAGTAGAGACCCTTTTGTGGCATTGAGGGACGACACGGTACCATCCGCTCCCGAAGTGCCTATTGTTCTCGGCATCCATCAAAGCTTGGTACCAAACAGTGACGRCAACARCACCAAGCATCACCAAGTCGATCCSGGACTGAAGACAACCAAATAACCAGATAAATGACGACCAYGAGAAAAGCATAATCCATGATTGTGATATGCTGTGCTGCTGTTCTGTCTCAGTGRATGGGGAAAGAAACTTCTTTACTGTTGCACCTCGCAGAAACTGTCTTTGACGAACAAATGCCAATCGTGAACTTCCCGGTTGCAAGATACCGAAAAATGCTAGGAATCAGACGAACCAAACTTGCTGTCCAGCTGGCGACATACAAAACAAGATGGTGCTATGTCACGCCAAACCAAAATCCTTGGCCCTTTGCACTRCATAGGAAATAGAGCTGCCGCTTGACACACATGGGTTGGATCTCACCAGGACGGGAATCCGCCAACATTAGAAACCTTCCCGCGTGCCTGSGAAATCGGATCGAGCGAGAAATTGACTTTTTGCAAACAGGTATAACATCCCGATATCGTTGTTCGATCACTGAAGAAATTCTCCGCCTGTGTCTTGACGAGGATAAAAAGTCCACTGGCAACTCTTTCAAAAAAGGGAGAAAAATACTTTCTCTTGGCCACGAGGTTCAAACCATTTTGTAGAATGCTTTGKCTTTGAAAGAAGAGGAACGTGGACAAAGTTTGGGGAAATATATGGGCAAACTGCACTCACTAAGCAGGACAATATCTTCGCTGGTGGTGATCGAAGACGATTTCTATTCTTTCTGGGCTCGCAAATATGATGGTGATGACTCTTTCGTTCGAATGATTGAAAGGCTCACAATAGAACMGTTTTTGCAATTACAGCTGTACACTAACCAGATGTAATTAATATTATTTACCACAACCTCCGCATACACTGTCGGCAARCGTTGCAAGAACACGGCAAAATAATTTCTGTATTATAGATCAATTCATTGACTCATTAAAATTATCTATACAGTATTATACAATGGCTATGATTCTAGTGAAGCCACCGCCGAGGCCGTTTCGTTTTCATGAGCCCATGTCTCGACCGTTGCTCCATCCACATTAGTACCTTGGTTTTTAACATAATTTGTTTTGCTCGACTTCATACAACAATAGTTGTATTTGCTGCCTTTTTTGATTCTCGACCGCAATTTTAGCCCAACCATTTATTGTAGGCTTGGAACGCTTTTATTTCTTCGTCGCTAGCTTTCTCGCCTTCTGGCACGGTACACTCATCCTCCCGGTTGACAACCGGACTTGCAGTAATTTTGTCCGCCAGTTTTYGTATGAAAGATTCTCGCAATGAAGGGTCTGAGGGTAGATCTTCAACAGGACCCTGGTAAATTGTCTTTTTCACTTTGCGATCCCCCCGCAATATTTCATTGATCTCGTACATATATTTGCCGTTCATCGTCACTTTTTTGTTTTCTGTCACACCAACGGACGCGTTCACTACTCGAGGCAATGGTGGTCTTTTACCAAGGATACACTCGTTTGGCACGATTCCAACACAGCAAATATTATAACTTTTGACTTTTTCGGGGAGTTTGACAATCCATTGCAGTTCTACGAGTGGTGAATCCCGAAATTTTTGAATAATTCCTGTCTCAGGTCCCTTGGTATACCCTTGAAAAATTTGCACGATCTTCACTGACTTATCATAAAGACCGTCCCAGCCGCATTCCTCCCTCATGTTCTTCGCCCTCATCTTGTCCGCAAAACCCATTTTCTCCCTCTTGAGAGTAGCAGTAAACATGGCGTTCTTCATTGACTTTCCCTTGTTTGATTGGTGATAATATTCTTCTGTGTGCCCCGTAAGAAATGCCACGAGCTGACCTAAATTTTTCAAATCCATATTTCCAGAAACAATGACATCACAGTGCTCATCGTTTTCTTCATCCTGAATGTACAACTGGACATTCGTTTTTGAAAAACGAAATATGTGATGAAATGATCCTGCTTTAGTTACATATCTCATCAACTGTGAAGACATCCAATGGGCCATAGGAGTTTTGCTTCTCCAAGTTCGAGTTTTTTTACAAAAGTATCGCATAGGAGTAAAACTGGGTCTTTCCCGACCCCAACCCCAATTCCTTTCGGCAGGTAAGTATGCATCCTTTGCCACCCTATCAGAAAAGCGGACCGATTCTTTTTGCGCTGATCCGTTCAGAGGTAAAATACTGCAATATGTGCCCATGTCATTTTCTTTCAGAGCAGCGGAAGACGGCTGTGGCGTTACCTTTTTAAGTGCTGCTTTGTTYGAGGACGTAGTGCTGTGGCCCATTCTTTTCATATTATCATTTGAWGCGAACGRAGATGACTTGGATTCTACCCTTTTCTGCGAAGTTTTTTCTTGAACCAGTATCTTACGAACGGAGACCGATCTCTTTTGCGGYGCTATTTTCCCAGGTGCAATACTACGACACACAGCATTTACGTTCTGTTTGAAAGTGGCAGGAGGAGGCTTTGAYGGTGCTTTCTTTCGCGTCATTTGATCTTCGGTTTTATCACTGCAGTCCATGCGATTATCGTTCTCTTCTGAAGCTACACGAGACGGCTCATATTTTTCTTCCTCTTTTTCTCTAATGTTTCGTAATATGTTTTGTGCTCAATGTTTACCCTATCTTTGGAAACGTAGTGTTTGTTCTCTTCAGTGATCCAATCTTTAAAAATGTGGCGAAAAGTAAGTCGCAGATATTTTTTTGTGTAGGGATCCACGATTCCCAAGTCGYCATCAGTAAATTTCCTCACACCTAGCATCAAGTTGTATACTGTGCGGTAGATCATGGCATTCTTTAGGGGATCACCTGAGAGCAGAAGCCTTCTTCGAAATCTAGCTATTGCAAAGATAACAGGGACCACTTTGTCGAAGTAAATCCTACGAGGTCGGCTACATTGAAAATCTCGCGCTTCGCAGAGCCACCGGTTAATTTTCCTGTATATGCAATGTCCGAATTCCTCCAGATCCCTGATGATTATCTTGGTCATGTTATAGAYAGTACATCGCACTATAAGACTGTAGCAGAACTTGTCAACATCCTCCTGGGATAACTCCGAAAGCGCACGATCGCGTTGCTCTTCAGTGAGTTGATTCACTTTAGTACAACCTAACTCCTCCAGTTTGCCAGGGATTCGCTCGAGAGCATGCCCAATAGCTTGATTGGGCACTATGATAATGTAGTCATCCCGGGATTCACATCGTGCGTCTGCAACAGCACCTGCAGCCAATGATGCCTTAGTAGAGAGTTCCTTCAAAAGATCGATTCGGATTTGGTAAGGGGAGCTTGTTTTTGATCTCTTGTTCGAGCCTTTATTGGATGGTGTCGCCTCGTCCGTATCTGCCTTGCGCTTGTTTTCGCTGGATGTATAAGGGATGAGTGCGGCGACCCTCGCTGAAGACTGTCCGCGGCGTTTTGGGATCGATGCATTCATCTTTGATTTCGTCGTTGTGTCTTGCAATGCGGACAAATGGATTGTTACATATCCAAGCCGTTGCAATCTCGGTACAACACCGTGCACGTTGTTCCTGAACCATGTACAAGAACCACATAAAGTTGCTCAAAAACCAAGAATATTCGTCTCTTTTTTTTTCTTTCAAAAGTTGGCGCGAATCGAAAATATTCGACTTGATCGAATAATAAGATGTGATCCCTCAAATGATTTCTCTTCCCCTCAAAGAAAACAAAAAACTAATTGCATTCCAAGCCAACTTCCCGGGACTCYCCTARGTAGTAAAACTAAGATAAAACCGATCTTGCCGCAGGTCACYTAACGAGAACGTGCTCCAAATCCAACCTGGGACTTCAAGTCTGGTCGCGCTTCTTGTCCCAACTGAAGATTGAGTCTGTTGGAAACAGGTCTGGGAGCCAATTTATGATCGCACTCGCGATCAAAAATAAAAATTTCGACGGTCGAAATTTTCTCGTGATTAAGAATCTAAACTTCGAAAAAAACCGGTGATTTGTGAAGGATCTTTTGCGGCAACATGATGTCATGACAGCCATCAAAAGAACAAAAAATTATATTCTCCCTCCCCTGGCTCTCTACTCCATGTTCACAATCCAGTATTTGTAACATTGGTATCCCGAATTTCGACTTGTTTTCATCTTTCGCGACACATCGAACTTCGGTGAAAAGTGTAAAATAATGCCTCCCTTCCGAGCAGAAAAAGACGATGATTTCGTCGATCGCCTCATCTTCATACCCCCGATCATGTCCGAAAGGGACCGTGATATCTGCGATACAGACACCTTCAGCACGGCAACTACGTTGTCTGCATCTCTCAAGAGGAAAAGAATCCGAAAAGAATCACCGCCTCCGTCTTCCTCTATTCTTGACCAATTCATGAGCTT